GGAAATGGAAATAGGGGTCTATGAGGAATAAAGATGGCCTAAGGCTTAGCACTGTGCTAATCGTTATTTGTTGTTTTGATCCGGTTTTGTCAAATAACCCTTAGTAGCCGGCTCATACATCATGCTGTGCCATGAACTGTAACATATCAAATGCAATGGCCGTATTCATACCTATGACAAAGCCAAACTATCTTATGGCTCGTGAACCCAGCTTACAGTATCACCAATCCTCTGCTGAATTCCATTGGATGCCTTCACTTAGAAATGGTTTTGATAGGGAAGCAGGGTATCAACTTAATACAATGCAATTTATTTATTCTGTCCCACTAATACGTCAAAACTCCACAGTGCAAGTTGCAAATTGCTAAACACCCCTTATTTTGGGATGTGGAAGGCGTTGGGACACAGAATGCCCAGGTACTTGTGGCCTCCGAGCTGGCACACTGGCGCCTTTGCTCTTGGGCAACTCAAGAGCATTGGGTGCTCTGGAATCATCACCATCGTCCCTCCTCCTTCTGCAGGATTTGAACTGCCTCACAGCTATATCCTCCAGGAATTCCAGCCATTTAGCTTAGTGCTCCTTTCCTGCTTCAAAAACATGTTGACAATTGTTCATGCAGCCATTCTATGTGTCCCCCACCCACCCACCCGGGTGTGCCCCTCCCTTTCCCCATTAAATACAGCCCAGGAACATACTAGGCTACCTCACCATTGTTTGCTTAGATGGCCTGGTGCTGGGTGGGCGAGCCCCTCAAAAGGATATTAAGCCTCCAAAAAACATCCCTGTAATTTCCTTTCCCTGCTCTCCCACCCCCTTTTGTGACTTCTTACATTCCACACAAAGAACCCCCCCTCCCCCACTTTCTCTGGGCTGGCCAAGGCCATCTGCTTCTCTCCACCCCAACCAGATTCCTTGACTTAGGGCAATCTTTTCCCTCCCCACCTTTATCGCCTTTATCAACACATTTGAGAATCCTCTTTCTGGCATTACCAGTAGCATTTTGTTGATCAGCTCAACTAGGATCTCTCAGAGAAAACATTCAGGGTCTCTTTTTTTTATTGGGATTATACACTGTGCTTTGGCATAAGGTGTTCTCTGCAAACCTACCTATTGTGGCTTATAAACCAAGGGTAATGGCCTAGGACTAGGTTATGCAAAGGAAGTTACTATGACTTGTTCATTAAGCATGGTTAGTGGGTTAGTAGCAGATGGCCGAGCCTTGTTTCAAAGTCTATACAACAGCTAAGGATTACACTATCAAACAGCTGAGAGCAAATTACTGTACTGAGTAAAAGTAGCTCAATAAAACTTTATTTTTTTTAAAAAATGAAATAGGTATGCTACTTACTTGATCCCACCAACAGAGGAAAAAGTATCTTTAAGTTTTCCCTTTCCACTTATAGTCCTGTTATGACCCTGTAATTCTAAAATGATTATGTGCCATCAAGGCAGGGATGTCAAACTCAATTTCATTGAGGGCCGCATCAGCATTGTGGTTGCCCTTGGGGGGCCGGGTGGGTGTGGCCTACTGGGTGGGCGTGGATGGAGTGGGTGTGGCCTACTGGGTGGGCATGGCCAGCTCTACATCGTTCGCGTCAAGGGTGCCTGTGGGGGCCTGGGCAGGAGTGGGACAGATCTGAGGGTCTCTGGCAGAAGGGGGTGGGACCAGGGCAAGCACCAAGGCATGGTCCATTTCTTCATTCCTCACAAAGGGTGACACCTCTCCAGCATGCACCCAGGGGGCGGGGCCGATGCGGCAGGGGCTGGTTCCTCGCTGTTTCCAGACAGCCTTGTGGAGCTAAGACTGAATACATTTCAGCATAGATGGCCACCACAAAATTGTACATTGGCTCCCTCCCGGCCGGCCTGGGCCAAGGCAGCGGGGGCCGTTCCCTCACTGTTTCCAGGGTGGCTTCGTTGACCACATGAAACCACTTCACGGGCCGCATCCGGCCCCCGGGCCTTGTGTTTGACATGTCTGCATCAAGGCAATGTCAACTCTTAGCACATAGATTTTCTACGAAGCAAATTTTAAAGAATGAGGCCCATGGCCGCAACATAAAGAACCATTCAGTCCTAATTTAGCATAGTATCTGAATGCAGCCCAGTGGAGACTCTCTGTGATATCACTAGTGTACTCAGCCCTGAAAGGCCACCTTTTGCAATGGACCGTTAGTTTCTAACAAAAGATGGGGAAGAAGCCTCGCTTTAAAGATGCTCAATTCCAACAGCTGCTCTGCCCAATCAGATTCTCTCTTCTGCTGCTGCCTTCTCTGCTTTTGGCCCAATTCTCTTGAGTCCTGAGGTTCAAAGGCAAACAAGTTTAAAGAGTCCTATCGCTTTACATGTTCTTTACTCTAATAAGAATAATAACAGGTTTCTGTAATTGGAATACACATGTAGGCTGTACTCATGACAACAACTAAGCAATGGTGATGAAACAAGGAAGGGAGACCCAGTGAAACCCCAGATTTGCTTCAGGCACACCTATAACAGTGTACTACAACAAGGTGATTTTCAACTCCCATCATCCCCTGCAAGCAAAGCCTTTGAGCTCTGCTGTCTAGCAATTCTGGGATCCAGCACATCTGTAGGGCATCAGGCTAGAGAATATTCTTGGATTCCAATAATGGGACTTCCTTGGCACTCAACGGGGAGACAATTTTCCCTCCAACTATCTAGGTACCTCTATTTATATTTAACTTGGGAAAAATCAGAACTATACTTAACATTAACATTTAAAATTCAATTTTCCAGATCTGTGAGCAAAGAGCCCCTGCCCCTCTCGACTCCGGCATCCCCTCTGTCTCACATGCCCAAGGGGCCCCCATCTTCCAATTAGTGCTGGAGCCAGCTGCAAGCCATTGCTGGCATTTATATTTTCAAAGGCAGAAGGACCATTATGTCTTCCAGCATGCCTTGCTGCAACCAGAGACCTTTTTAAGATTAGGCCCAAACCTAATTTAATTAAGTCTGCAAAATGCTTCCTGTATCCTTATCCCAAAGACTGTAACAAGCTGCAGACAAGGCTTCTTTCCAGTGGCCCTGCCATCTCCAATCGTCTCCTTCCTTTAACATGAAGCCCAAAAATGGCTCATTATTTCTGGTCATGAAAACTTGCTCATTATTTCTGCAATCTTTCAAAGGAAGCATTCTCCAACTTGCTGCTCTCCCCAAACATCTTAGATTACCACCTGGCAATATGACCCTTCAATTTAAAAAAAAAATCTTATTTGCTGTTTGAATCAAAATGCATACTTTCATAATGTTCATTCCTCGTTCCTTCCCTAAAATTCTCCAAATGCACCATGTAGTGGTTATATGTAGGATGCAGTGTGAAGTATCTAATGAAGCTATGCAGATTCTGTATTTTTGTATTATCTAGCAGTTTCAAGAACTTAATGCTTCCTAGTTTTGAAAACTGTTATTAAGAAAAAAAACAGAACATATTACAGGAATAGCTGCTTTTAAATCTATAAAAATCTGCACAATCTTAATCTATAAAAAGGTAGAATGAGGGAATATTGTATCTTAATCGCTTCCACCAACAGAATCTCGCACTGAGTATACCTATACCTTCTCTCTGTTCACTAATTTGAGGACCTCTTTGAATTCTTCATTTCTTCCACTAATTTAACCAGGTCCAAAACAATAAATTGGTAATTAGATGGAATGGTGAAGCTGCCTTATTTACATTTCAGAAAATAATAGAATTGACAGACAAAATTTGTTGCATCATAAAATCCAGATTTTGGTCTGAAATTTAAGTGGAACACAACTGACTGGGACACCAGAATAATTACAGAATGTGATTATAGAATTTACACAGAATGCAAATCTTTATTTACACAACTATTTATTAAGGATTGTTTTAAATTAGTGGCCCAGAGTATAATGATACCAGATACTTTTCTGTAGCTGGACATTCTTCCTACCAACAGCACAAATCCCAGGATTTATATCAGGGGTCTTCAAACTTGGCCCTTTTATGACTCGTGGACTTCAACTCCCAGAATTCCTCAGCCAGGCGTGCCTGGCTGAGGAATTCTGGGAGTTGAAGTCCACAAGTCATAAAAGGGCCAAGTTTGAAGACCCCTGATCTATGTAGTAACGTTTCTCTACATTTCTGAGCAGTTGGTTTCTAAACATCCCATAATTCCTCACCAGATGAGTATCATCATTAATATAGGCTCAGTGTATTGATAAAGACAAAGATCCTTGTCTGCACTTATGCAAGAGAGGGGCCATTCAGACAACATGCTAAGCCAGGCCATCTAAATCCAATTTGCTTTGTGCACCTAGAATCTTGGAGAAAATCAGGTAAGGCAAAATGCAAAACTGGGCCTGTTCTAGTCACACCATCTAAATGGTTTTGTCGTCCCCCCCCCCCTCTTGCAGGCATGGGAAAAGGGAGAAATGGGGATTAAAAAAAGAGGAATGTGAAGACTTCCCCATTGTGCCCATAGCAGCTCTGATTGTAACTAAGCTGCATACACACACACACACACACACACACACACTTGAAATTAAAAATACAAAAAAATGAAATCCCTCTCCATTTACCAGTTCATTACATATCTGTTAAAGATGCTGCCCAAGAGGGCTGCTCCTAGAATAATTGGGCCCCATCTTGGCTTTCTCAATAGTCTGGTGCTGGCTTACTGGTCAGTTACTTACCACGGTTCAGAGCAGACTGGATCTGCAGAAGTATCAAGTATAAATTTGTCCATCCATCCATCTGTGGTCATTTCACTGCTCTTTTCATCCAAGTATTTTAACTAGCAGCATCTTCCACAGGATCAAGAAGACGGAGACTATTCCCATCTCTTATATCTGATCTTTGAGAACTGGAAACCTAGGATTCAGGGGAGCCTTCTACATGCAAATCTACTTTCCTTCCCCAATTCTGGAACTCTCTCTTTCTCTCTGCCTCTGAACTTGGCAAGAGCCCTCAAAAGATAATCCGTAGCATGCCCTGGAGATAGGAAAGAAAGCTCACCTCGTTTCTGCATAAAACTGAAGAGGTCATCCAGGAATTCCTTTCTTTTCGGATCTCCATCAAGTTCATATAACTGCAGAGAGAGAGAGAGAGAGAGAGAAAGGGAGAAAAATAAAGAAAAAATTAGAACTGCTTCAGACACTTTTCTCCAACTTCTCTAATATTGCTTGTATAATGTAGACAACTAGCCCACTGAAGCTAGCCCATAAACAGGGGACCCAGGGGTAAATCTGATTCTAGGTTTTTGTGCGCCTAGGTGCATGTACAGAGGAAGAGAGTTGTTTTTTTTTTTTTTTAATAAAGCTTGAACTCCCTGGCTTGGTTCAGAGGTTGCAGAAGTTTAGCTAAGCCTCAATTCCTACTAAACTCCTTTTTCTAATGAGACATTCTGCAGCTATTACAAAGTGCAAGATCAGCAATTTGCAACGGCATACGCAATGGTCACCGGGATAACAGCAGACAAACACGCACGAGGCACCCAGCCAATTTTCTAACCACCCTCTCGTCTGCTTTCTAGGACCTCCTCCTCCTCCTCCTTCCTCCCACCCACTGGCAAAGGGAAATCTGATTTCTTTCAAGGGATAGCCAAGCAACAGAATAAACTCCTATTTTGTCCTGTGTTTGGCCATTCCGGATTTCTTGCCTTCCTAACTCTATGACCAAAGATTACCCATGAAGCCTCATATTTTAAAATGTTAGACATTACAACAAATAAAAGGCACATCCCGGCCAATTAATCACAGAAAAGTTTTTTATTGCTTGATCAAAGCTATTGTAAATTAATGGAAATGCCAGTCTAGGTCAAGCTTTCTGGTTAAAAAATGGAAAGAGCTGCAAAGGTTTTGGAATAAACCACACAATATTGTATCCATGAATATTGCTTCTCTTTTATTTACTATGAAAGAAAGCGACAATGTGATTATCTGTAGGCAGTAAGATACTTGCAACCCTCCTAGATGGCATCTATGGCCTGCCAAAATCAAAGTATTTTTTTTAATAAGTTGAAATGCTTTATGGGATTGCCAATTCTCACACAATTTCACTGTTCTTCCCTGAGAATCATGCAGGACTTCAGTAATCACACAAAAGGATATGACTGAAATCCCAAACGTTTGGGCAATCCTGTACAGTTTTATCTTTTAAAAATTATTTAAACATTTGTTTTGATTTTCAGTAAAAAAAAAAAAAAGTTTGCCCATCCCTTTGTTACAGCATAATGATACTCTTGTATCTTTAAAAATCAGGAAATGCAAAATAATCTAGTTAGAAGTACATTTTAGAAGAACAAACCAACCTTCTCTAAAACATGAACAGGAAAATGCCTTTTCAGCAATATATATCAGGGCTTTTCAACCTTTTCACCCATGGTACCACTTTTAGGATATGACAATATCCGAGTACCACCAGTTGCCTAGCAAGGTGTTAAAAACTTGATGACCCCCCCAAAAGGAAAAAAGTGATAAAGTACAGGTAGTCCTCGACTTATAACAGTTCGCTTAGTGACTGTTCGAAGTTACAATGGCACTGAAAAAAGTGCCTCCCAAGGCACAGCCGAGCAAGACACTTGCCTGCCCGCCCGGCGGTGCTCTTCCTCCTGTCCGAGGTTTTCATTGTTGTGAGCATTTCTGTTGAGGATTGGCAGCGGGGGTGGGGTGGGGGGGGTGTTTGGTTTTTATTCCCCCCTGTCTGCTGGGTGGTTGCAGCAGGTTTTGGTCACTTCACATGACCCTGGGACACTGTGACCGTCATAAATATGAATCAGTTGCCAAGCATCTGAATGTAAATCACAAGACCCTGGAGATGCTGCAACATTCCAGCTGATCGGTGCTTCTTCTGGGCTCAACAGAAGCACCAGGATCAGTGCCGAGCTCCAGCTGGAGCCTGGCGCTGATCCTGGCGCTTCCACTGAGCCCTGACAGCCCTGCAGCTCCAGCCATCTCTCGCTCAGGCTTGTGCGGTGCTGCCACTGGTTCAGCTCATTCCCCTCCCCCGCTACCACTTTTCTAGGATGGTCGCATACCACCTGCCAGGTGCCAATGTACCACAGGTGATACCCGCACCACAGGTTGAAAAGCCCTGCTATATATATTGGAATACATACCAATCTTTAAAAAAAAGTTTTCATTCATATGCAGATTTATGCACGTTTCATCTGATCTCATCTCATGTACAGATAATTTCTTATTTTAAAGTCCTAGCAAAAATTCACCAAGGTAAATTGGAAGGAAATGTAGATATGTAAGAACTGGGTGAACTCAATCAGATCATCTCTATCCTTTGTCTCTTAATCCCATCCCTAAATCCTAAAAATTGCAAACCAAAGCAAAATCGAAATTATTGCCTCTCCACTTTGAATGGGGGTTGGGAGCTGTAAAAAGGAAGCTGGTGGGTTCTACAGGCCTACCACTCCCCATATTTTGCATTCCTGGCCTATATCTTCCAAAGGTCTCATTTATAATCCTACATTCTCCCCAATTACCTAAAATGCTAAATATTAAATGGCTGGTCAAAATGTGAGATGTTAATGTGATGGATCCAGAGGAGGGCAAGATGTGGAAGACAGATTTAGAGTTTTTAAACGTTTTCTTTCCAATTCAACGTTTTCTGGAAAACTCACATTACAACATAGGGAGGACAAATAAAAAGGCGGCATGTGTGTTTGCTTCTGTGGGCATCAGAGACAGATGCCAGCAATGAAAAAAATTTGAATTTGAAGCTGAACTGGAGGATCTGTGTCTTGGAATATATGGGAGGCGATGTCATACAGCTAAAGAAATAAACACAATCTGTTTTTCTACCCCGTGGATTAATTCCATCTGCTACACTAAGAGTGTTGGAATTTTGCATCACTGCAGGAACAGAGCACAAACAAAACAAAAAAAGTCCTCTTGCATCTTTCTTTGATAGTTTTCAAACGGAATGTGAAATTGAGAAAAAAAAGAAAAAAAAACATGGACCACCTGCTAGCAAGAAAAAACATGTGTTCCATTATGCACCAAGTAAACTGGAGCACACTTTTCCTTTGCGTAAGCTGAGTGAGCAACTGCTTTGTCATCGGTATATCCTATAGATCCATTGCTGCAACAATTCCCTTTGCATGCAGGAACAGGGCCTGCCCCTGATGTGGAGAACATGTGTGCCCCACTGTTCTCAATTCCCAACTATTAATAGCCTTCAATCAGCAAGAATGTTCCTTACTGGACCAGCTGCTGAGCTTGGATGGCCTCAGCTTGTCCTCATCACATCACCCCATATAAATTTTGACACTGCACATGGTTAACAGCCTTCAATAGGTCCAATCTGTAGGATCCACCTCATCTGAAAAATTTAACTAGATAATTTTTACCAGAATCTATCAATGGAAAGATTCTGGGAGATGTGGAGAAAGACAGTGAAAATACTTATTATAGTTGAAAGTATTGAATTAAATGAACTTAAAACCAGTTCCAAAACAGAATAAGTTTCCAAATTAATAACAGTACTAATAAAACAGACTGATTAAGCAAATAAACCAACAGATAGCAGAAAAGCAAAATAGAAAGTTTCCACCATTTGTAAGAGCAGATGGTGTACCATTTGTCTGAAATGGTATAGGCCCTATAGGGTTTCGTGTCTGAGCAGGAGGTTGGAATAGATGACCTCCAAGGTCCCTTCCATCATCATCATCATAGCACATCAACAACAGCAGAGTACTAATACACACTAAATTATGGAAGTGAGATTTCCACAACTCGAATGCAAACACTTAGAACATTTAAAAAGCAAATATTTCATTTCCCTATCAATCCAGCCCTTTTGGATGGGACAAACAGGAGAGCCTCTGCACTTTCCTGAGACAAACCAGGGCCTACATTTGGCAGGCCCTTGAAACTGACCATTTAAGGCTTAAAAGAATAAAGCCATTAGCAATCAGAAATGTGCAAAGCAACCCAACACTCTCTAACATAATTCCTGCAGATACTCTAAATGATAAATCCCATCAAACTAAGCCAACTGGGATTTGCACACCTTCCAACAAAATATAGGTGCTCAAAAATTTCAATGAGAAGCATCATATTTCCAGAATCAGTTTATCTGAGATCATGTTGGAATTATTTCTTCAGGGGATTTCCTTTGGCCCTGCTAGCCTGGGATTTGGGGGCTTGCATGATCAAAATTCGTAGGCTTGGCAACTGGCATATATTTATGGTTGCAGTGTCTCAGGGTCATGTGATCAGCTTTTGCAATCTTCTGATTAGCAAAGTGAATGGGAAAGCCAGATTCATTGAACAACTGAGTTACTAACTTGACAACTGCAGTGATTCACTTAACAACTGTGGCAACAAAAGACATAAAACGGGGCAAACTCACTTTACAAATGTCTCATTTTGCAACAGGAATTTTGCGCTCAATTGAGGATTACCTATACTTTAAAACTGTACCATGAAATGCCTGTGGCCCAGTCTAGAAATATGGTGTGGCCCCCCTTGGGGATCACATAATCCACAACGAGAACCTCTGCCCTAGTCATCTGGAAAGTGCCAGATTTCTCAATCTGTGTGTGTGTGTGTGTGTGTGTGAGAGAGAGAGAGAGAGACAGATGCCTGCAATGAAAAAGCTGAATCTGAAAGTGGACCAAGCTGGACTGCAGGATCTGTGCTAGAGCTACTTTGGGATCATAGAAATCTTTCTACCTATCTTTTGTAACCTGATGCCATCCCGAAGCATTCAAGTCAACTTCCATTGGCTCTCTGACTAGGGAAGGGAGCCTGGGAGCTGAAATCCAATACATGTTCTCCTGCTTGAGCAGGGGGCTGGACTAGAAGACTTCCGGGGTCCCTTCCAGCTCTATTCTATTCAAATTCTAACATCTGGAGGGCACCAGGTTGGGAAAGAATGTCTACCATGCCTGTCTCATGGAAATAAGGGATATAAAAGAATGTGTATGTGTACTGCAGAAAAGCCCTTGCTTCCAGTCAATCCTCCACTGCACAGGAAAAAGGAGTTGGTAGGTAGCTCAGGAACACTATTTTCTAGCCTTTTAACACTGACATCAATTCTATTCTAACTTTTATCAGGCTGCAGAAGACAGGA